GCAAAGCTGTAACACGGTGTTTAGATAATAAACAGGTAGTCCTAAACTCCTTCACAGTTATAATTTACATTATAACTGGAGACTGACTTTCTTGAGGTGAAAAGACTCACCAAAAATAAGTTGGGAAGAGATTTGGGAAGCAACATTTTAATCTTACCAGTGACCCTAACTTGCTGCTTCCAGGTCTTAAGACTGGAAAAATGTTGGTTGTTGCCCTCAACTCTTTTGGAATCCTGCTTTTCTTCTGATTCTTATTCTTTTCTTCTGCTTTGAAGCATTTAGTGGCTTACTTTTGGCCCCATGTGCAAGTTGACTGCATAGTGATGGGTCTTCACCGCCCCCTTGTGGTGACTCCCTATCATGGCTGCACTGACTTCCAAAGGGGGGTGCGTGACAAACGCAGACCTGAGGAAGCCAGAGCCAACCCTCAAGCTTAGGATTTTCTGAGGCCAGCAGAGGACTTAAAACCCAGATTAAAGCCAGCTGCTGGAATCCACAGCTTTGTAACGGGAAGGAGTAGTTTCTGCCTGGTTTTGCCCTAAGTAGGACAGGAATCCAGACCTCTGTCTGGATTAACCTTGCTAAAATGATGGTCAGTTCCTAGACTGCCCAGTTGGTCTGGAGCAAGGTCCTGGAAATAAAGGCAGCTGCGATGTGTCCCTTCTCTGCCACGAAAACCCAAGGTAGGAAGCGCCAGGATTAGAGTCTGTCCTCCAACCTCCCACCAGTTTAAATCAACAGTTAACTAGCCCCTACTTTGTGAACCTATAGGTGCCAGGGTAGACGGCTGGGGATATAAATAAGTAGTTCCTGGTGGCACAGTGGTTAAGAGCTCAGCTGCTAACCAAAAGGTTGGCATGTTCAAATCCACCAGCCGCTCCTTGAAAACCCTATAGGGCAATTCTACTCTGTCCTATAGGGTCACTATGAGTCAGAAACAACTTGACGACAACGGGTTTGGTTTGGTTTTGATCCTCAAAAACTCAAAAAGCTTACAAACATAAATAACCCAAGCACACATAAAATTAACAGCTATCAGTCCATTTGAGTAAGGGCTACAATAAAGCACTACGGGACTGGTGGGGAGGGAAAGATGAGTGACAACCATGGGCATCAGAGAGGCTTCCTGAAGGTAATAAGACTAAAGCTGGACCTCTAAAAATGAGTAGGCCCTCACCTAGCAGACATGAGCAAGAAAGACCACAATGATACAAATAACTACTTTTTTGGTGCTGATTATGTGTCAAGCATGGCTAAGGGTTTTACAGACACCTCAGTTTTTAATCTCCACAATCCTATGAGGTAAGCATTATTTTCTCTATTTAGTAGACAAGGGCTCAAGGCCACGTACAGCAACCTTGACAGAAAATACATATAGAGAAAAAGTAAAGGATATGTTTGGGGCAAATAACACGTTGCTACTAGAGTATCAACTACACGTGGTCAGAGGCAGAAAGGTAGGGACATGGGTGCATGGAGGTCATAATGATCAAAAAGTACATGAACCCTGTGATGAGGAATTTTAAAGCCTCAAACAAATTTGAACCTTATCCTTTGGATAACAGGTAGCCTTCTGAGATTTCAGAGCAAGGAATTCTGCTCAGGGGTACGTTACAGGCTAACTAAGGGGATACGCGGGGGAGAGGTGATGAGGCAGAGACAAGAGGAAGGGAATCCTGTGAGGAGCCATGAAATAGGGGAGCTTGGGTTAGGGTGGGGGCAGGGGCATTGGGCAGTGCAGAGGGATGAATCTGAAAACCTCTACATGGAGAAATTAAGATAGACTTGGGGATGAAGAAGGCAGAATTTGGTGGGAACAACTGTCCCCTCACATGCTTAACTTTCTGACCTGCCTCATCAATGCAAAGTCCTATGGATGTGACAAAGATTTCCACTCTCCTATGGAATACAAGGAGCCTTGGTGGTGCAGTGGTTAAGAGCTACAACTGCTAACCAAAAGGTCGGCAGTTCAAATCCACCAGCTGCTCCTTGGAAACCCTATGGGACAGTTCTACTCTGTTCTATAGAATCACTACGAGTCAGAACCGACTCAATGACACCTAACAACAACAACATGGAATACAAGTCTCAGTCCCACCCTGAGCTATGGTTGGATTATGGTTGTGCCAAACCTTTAAAGCCGAAACAGGGCAAGGTCTGTTCAGAGACCAGAGAGGAAACCTTGAAAATTGTCAATGCTCACATCAAATAATAAATCTCAGGATCCAAGAGTGGCCTGTCACAAGAGACCACACCAGTTTGATACAGTGACCACTCACCAAAGGTCAAGGAGAATTTGTCATTTCCCAGCAGTTTGGCATTTGGTTGGACCAAATCCTGTATGGGAACTCAGCCCTCCCATGGGTTTTTATTCCTGCTTTTGATTGCCACAGGGCTGGCAGGCTTCCCTCTGGCCCCACTCTCTCAGGAAGTCAGCCACAGCTGCTGGCCACTTGTCACACCCTATCCGGCAGGTGGCAGCATTTCATTGGTCAAGTAACACATTTCCGGACTATGGCTAACGGCTTCCAAGTTAGCTGGGAATTATGTCATCTTTCCCAAAAGGGCTAACTTCATCCAGTTCCACTGAAGTAGTAGTGGGTAGGAGCTTGGGCTACAAGGAGATATCTGGGCTTGGATTTACTATCCTAGGTTGGGATAATTCCAGGGAAAATATTTATAGCAGGCACTCAAGAAACATCTATTGAATGTGCCAAGCACTGTGCAAAACTATGGTAAGAATGGTCCGTGTTCTCAAGTTTTGATTCTAGGAAAGGAAGAGGATGATATCTTGAGATAATATCTCTTTACTCTGATTTTTCCTTCCTAAAGTTTTGGTAATAACTGCCCACCTCATCTTTTTTGTTTTTGTTTGCCTTTAGATACATACTATTGCCCTGAAATCAAATCACCCAAAGCTACTCGCTCTGGTGAGTTTGTCCAAGGAAACAGAATGATAGTCAGAACCGACTTGATGGCACCTAACAACAAAATGATGCACAAAATAGTGACCCATTTTAGGGAACTTGGATATGCTTCAAAAGAATGCCATGTAAAGAAGTACATCTTATATCACTAAAAAGTTTGAAAGTGTAGTCTAATCAGGAGCCAACCATATGCTGGAACTCTAGGAGAGACCTCTAGGATGCCTGCAGTAACCCTGACTCCACACCTGGAAGGGAGGGGCGAGAGGAGGTACTGGGAAAATCATTTCAGCCTCACAGGGTGTCTTAGTCATCTAGTGCTGCTTTAACAGAAATACCGTAAGTGGATGGCTTAACAAAAAGAAATTTATTTTCTCGCAGTCTAGAAGTTCAAATTCAGGGTGTCAGCTCTAGGGGAAGGCTTTCTCTCAGTTGGCTCTGGAGGAAGGTCCTTCTCATCAATCTTCCCCTGGACTAGAAGCTTCTCTGTGCAGGAACCCTGGGTCCAAAGGACACACTCTGCTCCTGGTGCTTCTTTCTTGGTGTTATGAGGTCCCGAACTCTGCTTGCTTCCCTTTCATCTCTTGTAAGATAAAAGGTGGTGCAGGCCACACTCAAGGGAAACTCCCTTTACATTGGATCAGGGATGTGACCTGGGTAAGGGTGGCGTTACAATGCCACCTTAATCCTCTTTAACATAAAAATTACAATCACAAAATGGAAGACAACCACACAAAACTGGGAATCACTGCCTAACCAAGTTGACACATATTTT